ATTGTGACTGCAGGGCACAAATGAAAATGAACATGCCGTTTATCCTACACGTTGCAATGTGTTAAGATATATATATACTTTTCATTCCATTCTATTGCATGCATCCATACATACATAGGTACATCTTTGGGGGAGGTGTCCAACATCTTGCAGAACAAGGGCGGATGATCGCTGCTTTGGTATTGTGCCCCATCTCAAGGCCATCACAAAAGCCTTACAAAGCCAGCAACAAATCAACGGTCGAGTGGAAAGTTGAGTAGATTGTTTGCTTAAGTTTCCCTAAACATCTAGGAACCAAATGAATCGTGCGAGCGTGAGCTATCCTGTGTCTATATGTCGTAGTGCTTCCAGATTCCAGTAGCTAGGAACGTACAGGTTTGCCCCTTTCAGTAATTGAGTAGGTAGCCAGGTAGCCTACTTGATGGCCTCCAACCAAATCGCGACGGCGAAAAATTAACAATTAAAAAGAGGTCTATGGCGGTTTCTCTTGCGCCATCAAGTCCAAGACACCTGCTGCAACCGCAATGATCGACTTGAGAACTGCAAAGAGCTCCACTGCCAATGGGAAGGACAGGCTTTTCACCGCAAAGTTGGGCTTGTTGAAGAGTTCCAAAAGCACCTCGGACACCTCACAGCTTTGGAACAAAACTTGAAAAGCACATGCGGCAAGTGTGATTCTCTACAGGCCATGGCCCTTTTATGACTCACCTGCCTTGACAAAGGCAAAGCGACAAAAGGTCTCTAGGACGTGGAGAAGAATAGAGAAGAATGAACAGCACAAGGCCAGTAAAGAATAGAAACTAGGAGTCAGGACGCTACTAGGGGCTCCTGGCCTTACTGATTACTAGGAACAAGAAGCAACTAGTAACAAAGGGCATTTCTACTAGGAGCAAGGACGCTCCTAGGGGCAAGAGAAAGCACGCAGCAAGGAGCGTGTGGGCCAAAGCAGGTGGCCCAGTGGCCTGACCCAGGGGGTCAAGTCATCTCACCAGTGGCCCGACACTGCAAAACAAGCCTGGACACAAGTCGTTCACACCAAACGGAAGACTTGACAACGCACAGTCACAAACACGACAACCAACAACAAACAACAAAACATGACATGACCACAGTGGGAGTAGCTCGAAGTAAAGCAATTCTCTGTCTTTCCTTTTGTTTGTCATTCGTTTGTTGTCTCAGATGTTTACTACCCCTGCACTGTATGGGTGGCCAAGTTGTGCCTACAAACCTTCATGGAAACATGAGCGCGCGCGTACGGTTGGCATTATATGATCGAATCATGCGCAAATCCTAGTAACAGGTGCCACGCTACTAGTAACAGGTGCCACGCTACTAGTAACAGGTGCCTTACTAGTAGTAACAATGTTTGCAATTATATAATTTAAGTTTAATTTACCGACAGTCCCAAATCTTTCCCATGGGCCTTGGGATCTTTGCAACCTAGCGTGGCTTCAGCGAAATGCCTCGCAGCTGAAATTGCCAATGGCCTCCAACCTAATAGCGATGGCCTCCAAATGAAATTAGCCAGAAAAGAGGACTATGGCTATGGGCCAGGGCGGACAAGGCTCCCTCGTGCCACGTCTGCTGCCAGCGTTCCACCCATAAGCACAGCAGCCGGCAAACCTGACCAAAACATGACACCATCATCGGACAAGCTTAATGATTCATGAACGAAATCCTTCAAAACATTTCTTTCAGTTTTTTGGGCTTCTTGGCAAACATGCCTAAAGATTCACTGACGTAAGCGCTGCCAAACTTGAGCTGTTTCTCCGCGCTGGGCATAAGGATCTTGGACATGACCTTAAGGTTCACAGTGTTCAACAGTCGGACCAGCTTCACTATCGGCGATGCTACAGGCGATGCTATAGGCGATGCTAGGCAATGTGAACTCTACCCATCGCAAGCTGCCACACACTCAACGGCTTGTGGGAAATGGCAAAGTGGCTGCCGGATTAGGGTCACTCTGTGAGAGCGCAAGGGGCTGCGGAACAAGCAAGCAGATGGAACAACCACGTCTTCCGGTTGCACTTGAGCAAACTGCTTTGAAATCTGACAGGTCCTTTCTGAAAAGGTGCAAGTCGGAAGCAGATTCCAGAAATTGTGGAACACCTTGCTGAAGAACTACTGGAACGCAGCACAAGCAGCTTACCCGGTGTGGTTGAAGAAAAGTTGGCAAGCTCTTTTCAACTAGAATATTTTCATGGTGCTCCTTCTCGTGCGTGCTGGGGTGATTTGGCGAACAAAGAGTGCAAATGCTGGAAATGCCACCGTGGGGAATCACTCGAACTAAAGTAGTTTGGTCAATATCCACACCAACTAACAAAATGTTGCTCTGAACCTTCGATGGTTTCTCCAACTTTGAAAGAAAACCCTGGATGGCATCAATATCTGCTCGAAAGTCGCGGCGCAATAGTTTGTCACAAGAAGCAAATAGGAACAAGAAGCTACTAGGGGCTCCTGGCTTTACTACTAGGAGCAAGGACGCTACTAGGGGCTCCTGGCCGTACTACCAGGAACAAGTAGCTACTAGTAACAAGAAGTAGGAATTCCAATCACACCGAGACACAACAGCAGTGGCCGTTGGTTTGACCTTACCCTTGAGCTTGGACATAAGCTCCTCCATCTGCTCACCGAACGCCACAAAGATCAAAAGATCCGCATCTTTGGCAGCCTGGTTTGGAGATTTAAATTATGCAAAAGCTGCCAATGCACCAGGTCAACAAATCGGCTAAAATAGTGAAACATATCAATAGAGATGAATACCTACTAGCGATGGCCTCCATCCTAGTAGCAATGGCAAAAGAGTATATCTACCAAATGCACGTGCCACAGTGCCTCGACAGGGTCCACTGTCGCACGGACATTGCGTGGCAGCCGCAAGCCTGGCAAATGCCTCTCGTCAAAGCCGGTTTCATTGATGGCCTTTGCCGTCTCTGTCGAAGGGACCCAAACTGGCAAAGACTCTTCAAAGCGCTTCAAATGTAGAAGCGATTGGCCAACTTGACGTGCTACTCCAGTACCCCAAGAGCCTACACTGAAGCAGGCTACGCGGAGCTTGCTGTGCACAGTTTGAGGGATGCTCTTTAATTTCAGCGCTTCGGTCAATGACCGGATCAAGCAAACCACTCCAGCCGGTTGGTCTGTGTTCTTCGGCATGACAAAATGTGACACGGCCTTGGTCTTCTTCACGGCATTTCCCATAGCACACGCCACTCGGACGGATTGTAACATCTCCAAATCGTTCTCGGAATCACCAATCGCACAGCATTCGGCCATGCTGAGCCCAAGGGCTTCCAACAAAATATGAAGACCGGCTGCTTTGTTGGTGCCTGGGGCCATAATGTCGATCCTTGGAGTCCATCGCAATTAGATTGGCCTATGGGGAGAGTGAACAAAATAGCGTCTTGCTCCTAGTAGTAAGGCCAGGAGCCCCTAGTAGCTTCTTGCTCCTAGTAGCGATGCCAGGAGCCCCGTTCGTAGCGTCCTCGTTCGTAAGATTAACAAAGTCTTTGGCTCGGTCAGAGTTTTTACCTTTCACTCCGAGCTTCGTGGTCGGTAGAGATTGGGCATAAGCAGCAGAGCCAGCAACACAGTCTGCGACTTGTGGCTTGACAATGTCCATCTTGTCTGGATGACAAATGACCCGCATCATGTTGACTTTTGTAGGAATAGGAGGATCAGCTGTAGCATAGCCACCTTTGACCTCTATCGGATCAGGATCCAACAAGTGCTTGTGCATAAATAGGGCATATTCTTCAGACCGGTCCATCACGTAGTGTGAGTCTCCTTCCACAAACAGAATGGATGCTACATCTCGATGGGAACGGCCCCACTCCACCATCTTCTTCAAGAGGTCCAATGGGAGAGTCAAATTTCGCAAGAGCTCTCCGCCTTTGCCTTATCTCTTTCCCCTGTCTTTCATGTATTTTGTTGGGTAAACGAAAAGGACAAGTAAGGCAAGCTAGTATCCAGTGTTCTCCTACCCTCAAAATACTTTGTATAGAGTTGGATGTCATGGTTTCAGCTTCAGCATCTCTCAGCGGAGTTCAATGGTTTACTTGTGCAGTTGAGCTGCCTTTCACAGTAGTGCCATTCAAGTACACACCTGCAATTCTGGAGTATCGTTGACAAGCTCAAAAGACTGTTCTTGCTATTGTTTGTCCTTGCCATGGTTTGATGTTCCAAAGGATTCAAATCTGCTCTTCTAAATGTGTTTGCTTAAACTGAATCCTCACAATGACCTCAATGACCCATGTCTTGCAATCAAATCTCTTGTGTTTAATATGTGTTTGTGAATATTGTTTTATGCATGGTGAAATGGTGATTCAGCTCCAAAGCCACAAGGTGCCTGGCATCTTGTCGATGTCCAAGCCCTTCAACACACCACGTGCTGAGCCCAAATCGCGTCCTGTGCACACGGCAAAGGAACCTCCCGCACTCACGTACTCCGCAATCGCCTCGAAAGTGCCAGTGGCCTCGAAAGTGCCGGTGGTGCAAAAATGGCTCCTTTCCTACCTAATAGCGATGGCCTCCAACCTAATAGCGATGGTTTCAACACATATTGCTCAATATCCCTCATATACTCCCTCATATGTATTTACACATCTTGTGCATCTTAGGAGCAGGAACATGGTCAGGATTCAGCAAAGTCCCATCCAGGTCTGAGGCCAACAACTTTACAGATGCCAGCAAGGCGTCATTGGTGATCATCTTCCACGCAAAGCTAAGCTACCATCCGAAACGATGTTTCCACGCAAAACTAGGTGTTTCCAAACTTTGGTTACTTGGCCAGAACACGCGCATGCGCAGTCATAGCTTGGGACCGTGGGGTTTTGAGGTGTCTTCTGTCTGTTTCTATTTTGCACATTGTCAGAATGTCGCATTGCCTTGTACACTGTGGCTTTGGGCTCAAAGGCTGACACGGTAACAGAAATAAGGAATCCCAAATAGCTCTCTGCACTAATCCCAAGCGACATGAAAAGAAACGGGTCGGGCCAGACCCGAATGCCATAGTCGGAAAGGAACTCTTCAGGATCCAACATTCGCTTCAAAAGAGCTCTCATCCTCACGGCATAGCCCTTTGTTCACAAGAATTGAGGGTGAAGTGATGTGTGCAAAACTGGCAAACTTGAAGCGCACAAGTCTATCTTGCACTTGGTGATGTCTGTCCTGTAGCCTCGCAGTAGCGAGAGCAGCCGCCGCTCTCCCCGGCCAGGCTGAGGGCACAGGTCATTCGTGAACAATGCTTGAAATTTATCGAAGGTGTTTTTAGATGCTTTTTTCAAGACAGCAGGAGGAGTAGCGAGTAGTGCTCGTCGTGGTGGTGGTAGTGGTGGGTGGTACTGGTGCTGGTGGTAGGAGTGGTGGTGGAAAATGCAAGCAGCAAGACTATCAGCAATACAGCTGTATACCCATTTCTGCACTTCTTTCCGACTTAGCGGATGGGGCAGACAGCCCCGCATAAAGCATGCAAGCAAGCATGGGTGCACATGCAATTCCCCAATAACGTCAGGGAGTGATTCACCAACTCCAGCCAATGCAGGGCACGGCAGGGCACGGCAGGGCACGGCAGGTCCGCAAAGCTAGCTTTATGGCTTTGGCTGGCTTCAAAGTTTGTTCCTTTTGTCTCAGTAACAAGAACACAACGTAAGTAGCAAGAAGCTATTAGGTTGGAGGCCATCGCTACTACGGTGGAGGCCATCGCTACTGGTAGCGAGAAGCTACTAGTAGTTTTTTCTCATTGTGTCTCAGTTTCTCTTAGTAGCGTCCTTGCTCCTAGTAGCGATGATAGGAGCCCCTAGTAGCGATGCCCTTGCTCCTAGTAGCTTCATTTGCTCTTGCCTCTTCGAAGCGGGAGACTAAAGATGCCAAATCTGGCCGATGCTCAAAGAGCCATTGCCTCACACCAGCCATGTCGCTTAGATGCATGCATTCCTGCAGAATTACTACTTCTGAAAGCGCTGTTGTCTGTAGCCTTCTCGAAAAGGTACACAAGAAAGGAAAGACACTTAGCTACTAGTAATGTCCTTTTTTCTGGTAGCGATGCCAGGAGCTACTAGTAGCGTCCTTGCTCCTAGTAGCGATGCCCTTTGTTCTGGAATGAAACAAAGAAATTCTAAAGGTCCAATTCAAAAAAGACGGGGCTCAATTCTACGACCTCAGGCAAGCATGGACTAGTAACCAGTAGCCCCTGGTAGCACATAGCGCTAAATTGTTTATGGACATGGAGTGGCCTCAGCCTCAATGTCCATTTTCGTGCAGTGCGCACTACCATATATTCAGGGGAACAAAAGAAGGAAATTCGAGATGGCTAAGGGAGAAGGAAGAAATATAGCAATGGCCTCCAACCTAAAAGCGATGGCCTCGAACCTACTAGGGATGGCCTCCAACCTAATAGCTAAGGGAGAAGGAAGAAATTAAAGCGTCATTTGTCAGCGTATGCACTGAGCATTTCAGCACCAGGCATCTGTCCAGCAAACCGAGGCAGCTTAGTCAGCATGTCCTGAGCTCCACAACGACCTTATGATTCCACTGAGTGAACCTGCTGACTTGGCTACCGCACTGGCTCAAGAACCTACACCGGGCAACGCCAGGCAAACGAAATTAAAATTGGCTCGGACTCGTGATTCCTTCTCAACTCGACATTTTCACAAGGCTTCATGTCATCAAATTCGTCCAACTCCTTTCCAACAGGAAGCCCAAAAACCTTTGTAGCCACAATGGGTCGCATCTATAGATCACCTATGCATATTAAGGAAGTAACAGGAATGTGGCACTTCTAAATAGCCTCCACTGCAAAGAGCGGGATCAAGCCAACAATACTGCGGAGCTTGATCGGCTCCTGGTGTGGCCCATCTGCTTGCTGCGGGACTCGACATGGATGGCTGACTTTTCTTTTTCTGGGATTCGCACCCTTGTGCCATCGGGGTTGGCGAGGACGTCGTAGTAAAACTGACCGCCAGGGCCAGGGTCACATGTTCTGTGCGTTAATGGGGGATTGTGGCACCTCATCTGAGGGATCCCAAAGGCCATGCTCTGCATTGTTTGCAACTCGGGTCATAGCCTTAGAGTCACACTACGAAATATCAAACAATCCGTGCAAAAGCATGCACAGCAACACAAGTAGGTTGGAGGCCATCGCGAGTAGGTTAGAGGCCATCGCTCTTAGGTTGAAGACCATCGCTCTTAGATTGGAGGCACTCGCTCTTAGGTAGGAGGCCATCGCTCTTAAGTTGGAGGCCATCCCTATTAGGTTGGAGG